ACATATTTCACTAATTTTTAAATATTTTTAAACATATTTTTATCATTTCATCATTCATACGTCTTCTTCGTACGAAAATACAAGAAATTATTTCCAAATTAGATCCAGAAACTTTATCGCTATTGGAAAAGCTCAAAATATTATGCAAAATGAAACATTGAAAATTATTTAATTTTAATTAAAAATAATTTAACAAAATTATTAATAAAAAATATGTCCCCAAATGATAGTGTGCAAATTGTTAAATCAGCGATTAAAACTCATAAGCGGACCAATAGATGTCGTAAAAAAGAAAATTCATGCTGTTACAGAAAAAAATTCCAGGCAATATTGATTTTATAACAATCAATGACATAATGAATGGCAGACAACCTTTTAAAAATTTGGAATTATCGCCTTCTGATAGTATACACTTGAAATATGCTTTTAATACATCGGTTGATGTGAAACGATAATTTAGCCGTTTTAAAAATATTTTGATACCTAATAGGCGACATTTAGAATTTGATAATTTACAAGATATTGTAATAATTCAATGCAACAAATCTTTTTGGTAATTTAATAATAATAATCACTTTTTTTTTAAATTTTTTTTTCCTCACATATTTGGATATTATTAGCACATATTTTATAAATTATACTTACATATATATGTACATATTTCTGTATTTTTATTACATATAAATCCGTTCCCTAATTATTATTATTATTAAACGCACTCGTGTATCATTTGGCGATAATATGCGATGTGCGTGTGCTGTGCGTACGGTTTTGTCCCATGAATCGCAGTGCCAGTGGTTTTCAAACCGAGGTACGGTAAGCGCTTACAGAAAGAAAAAAACATATCTATCAAAATTCGAATCAACGCACAAAAAAAGCAAAAGTCCATGAATTACCGGCAGCACTGAAGATCTCATTATTATTATTTTCATTCTGATAATTGAAGAAATCAATTTTATTAATAATAAAAGAATTTAGAGGATCTATGAAAACGTTCATCAAAACGTTTCCAAGATAGAAAGGGTGAGGTCAAAAATTCTAAAATATAAGCTGACGTAATACATTTGCCTTAAGGTACACGGTACACTGCACGTAAGACGGTTTTATGCTCAAATATATAAATGTTTTGGGATCCTACGAAAATAAAAATAAAAACACTTCTGCGCGTTACATACGATTGATACTAACAAAACGTTCAACAAGCAAATTGCATGGGGATGGAAAATAATAGAACAATCGAATAACAAACTCTTATAGAAAACCCCGTTCACCACGTTATTGCGATTGGAAACCAGATAAATGTGTTTGAACCGTTGTACACGGAGTAAAGACGCATAAACAAATCGCTCTCACTGCAGATAACACACGCATATTTAATTGTGTGCTGGACATTCTAATAGGAGTACTACTACACATTATGTTAAATCGAAACTATCGCCTCTAAGTAATGGTATGAATCAACTCTATGAACTTAATCGGTTGGTAAACGGATAAAACACCGGTGAACATCGAACGTGACGATTGCCGATATTACATCATGACATTCAAGGGAACAGGAAAAATTGGTCATAATAACTGAAATTATGAAAAACAATTTAAAAATTCGTTTTTTATTACAATTAACGTCTTAAAAATATTTGTTTCTACAAAATCATAACTTCAATACATACGAAAAAAATAAAAATAAAAATTGTTTTCAACTATTTAATTATTATTTTAGAAATCAATTTACAATAAAGTACGAGTATAAAAAATTGGTTATCTTTGTATAATAATCATACTCAATTGTTTTCTAGTTTTTCAACTTTTTTCTTGAATCTACGTTATTCAGAACCATACAATTTATTAGAACTATCGATTGTGATAGTACCTTCGACCAATTTAGTAGAGATATTAAAAATAAAATATTTTTTCGATACGAGTATAATCAAAAATAACTTTCGTAACAACCGTAATGTACGGCGATACTCAACCTGCGGCACTTTAACGATTTATATGTGGCCCAATCAGAACTAATTGAATTGATAATAAAATATAAATTTCAAAATTTTTATTATAAATATAAAATAGGTATAACAAAACAATCAAAGTATGTCGCAAATTCAAAAATTGAAATATGCAACGAATGTGTTGTATAGAAATTGGCTTACTGTTTCACATCTTGACGACTTTTTAATAGTAGCATGTAGCAACTACAAACTAGGTATATCCAATATAGTGAAAAAACAATTTCAATATTAAAATTCACACTAATTTAAAATAAATATTTAATTTAATTATTTTTATAAAAAAATTTCAAATATTATACAATATACACAATACGTACATTTATTTTTAGTTAATTTTTTTAATTTTCATTCCGTTCATTTCGATTTACGGCCTGTGAAATATTTTATGTGGCCCAAATAAAAAAAAGGTTGAGTATAGCTGGTACAATCATTACACAGACGGCATATTAAGCAATACAAATTAATACATACGATATTGAAGTTATGCCGGGACCTTCAATCTAAGTTCATTACAACCAGAATCATTATAAACGGTTTCTTCTGTATTTTAATGGTACGACAATCCATTCATCAGTATAAGGACGTTTACGATACGGGTTGATGATGTTCATGGATCGCGGAGTCCACGAACGTTTCCTACGATCAGCAGCCGTCTCTAGTCCAGACTAGTGATGAACAAACCAAGACCAAGATTATGGAAATCTTTGTCTTAGTGCTGTTCTTGCAGATTGAGTCTTGCAATTGATCTTGCACTTAAAGTCTTGGTCCCGTTGCAAGACTCTACCATTATTTAAAATTTAAAGAAAAAAATGAAATCTCTATTTAGGTTAAGAGTTAGTAGAATTTAATACTTGTACCAAGTACAATCTTACAGTGTCGCACAAATGAACACGAAATAAATACATACAATATAATAATATCCCAAGAATGCACCAACTATAATTAAATCCTGACATTTTTGTCTATTAAATCCTGATCACAGGATTTCATCGACTTCGTCAGACCTTTTTATGTTAAGGAGGGGAGTATATTGATTCTGCCACCGAACCTGGGAAAAAATAATTTTAGCATAAATTAACTTTGATATCTTTGTGAATTATTGTATTGTTATAGTATAATACCCTATATTTGTGGTCGAAATAAATATGTGATTTATTCATGCAACGAGGTTTTAGATTTACATATTAAGCATAATCCCATCCGCAACAGTATCAAGGTTTGTACAAAAACTAGGATAGGCTTCGACTATAATTCCCTTTGAGACAAAGCCCTATTCCCACGAAAAATGCTACGCAGAGGTACTTGAACTTGAAATAGAACCGGTAGACGTAGCGAGTAAAGTCCTAATATTCTTCAAAAATTGAAGTATTATTTTTCTGAAAAAGTAATGCAAAAAATTGAATGGAAATTTTTAATTATGATATTGAACATCCAAACCACGAAAAACAGTCGATAAATGTATTACTGCTATGTATGACAGCAGTAGGTTGAGGTGAAAATTGGTAGCTGGTGGAGTCGATAGGTCGTTTTTAGACTATCTGTAATGGCGGAGTCGATATATCGAGTATACTGACGGAATCGATAGGTTCCCTGGATCACTCTAGCGATTTGTCAGCGACCGACAAAACCGCGACCGAAAACCACCGTGTTCATATTGTACGTTTTATCGGTCGCCGAAAACTGATAAATTTTATTAAAAAGCGTGCGAATCCTTTTTAATTTGTAATAGGTATATTTTACAAATTGTAAAATGTTGGTTGAATTTAACGAATCTAATTTAATCATGAAAATCAAAACAACTAATGTCACCGAAGTATTTCAGTCTAGATCAGTTATTTTTCTTACTTTTTAGTAGTTGTAAAGTTATTCCATGCTAGTTGGTTAGCTTCGACTATTTTCAAAACCAAAATGAATGTTTCAAATTCCTATTCGTGTATTACCCTTAACCTATATATCCAATATACATGGATCAGGACCGTGCGCAGGAATCATACGGGGGGAGAGGAGTTCAAAATTAAATATGTTATGTTAGGTTATTAAGTCAATAAAATAATACAGATTGATATATCTAGCAAAAACTCAAAAGAAAAGTGCGTCAAATCGAGAAAATTAGAACTGTTAAAACAAAAATATACAACTATGTATGAATTTTCAAGTACATTTAACTCTTTTGTGGAATAAGAACTATATTCTTAGTAAAAATGTATGTGAAAAGATCCGCAATGGAGGGTTGGAATCCTCGCCCTTTGTTTACAGACCTGCACAGATAGTTTTGGACTTTTATTATAAGTCTTTCGGTGGCATATATTTTTATAAACTGTTTTTTTTTTTTTAATTTTCAACTTTAAAAAAAAAAATCAAAGTATAGCGAGTCGGCTTTGTACAAACTTATGCAGTTTTGGGTACATCGGAAATGTATCGGCACCTTCAAATCGCAACACGATGCGTTTGATTTTTGGCCGATTTTGTATGACTCCGTGAATCTGGTCACGATAATGCTTTTTTTATGTTATTGATATGTAATTATATATATTGTGTTTTGATTGCCGATCGGTTGTTTTATCGGCTGCCTAAAAAACGCTAGCCTCATCCCGTACTAAAAATTTTTTTCTGGGAACATTTTTATAAAAAAATATTACAATAATAATTGCAACAATGCATGACTGGCACCGAGCCCAATTTAGAGGCCATAGGCAAAAAAAATTGGCCTCTAGTCAACAATAGCGTATCTATGCACATGAGTTGTACAAAACAAATTAACAATTACAATTTACTTCTAAATCTTAACAAACAAAATTACAATGTTATAAGTACATTATTTATTCATATAGATTTCTGTATTTCTCTAAAATATTATATTTTACTAATATTATAACCTAACCTATTAAAAAAAAAAATCTATAAGAATCAGAGGCCCCCTAATAATAATGATCATAGGTAACTAACCTAATATAAATCATTTTATTTTATTGTCTACCTTACCTAGTAAAAAATATGACCCTGGTCTTACAAGGCCCTTATAGTCTTGATCTTGCATCAAGATAGCCCAATTGAAATCGTTTTCCCGCAACACATTTTCTAGCCAATCTCATGATAGCAGTACTAGTGTAGTAATTGTACCGTACAATTAATAATGTTATTTATAAAATTTGGTTCTTCTGCATTAAGAATTTTGAATAAATGAAGATCCTTTTTCAGCACAAAGTTTATATAGTAATTTTTCAAACCACGATTTTTCAATAATTCAACACCTTTTTTAAAATTTAAAAATGGTTCAGTAACGAAAGCTTTCAATAGCTGAAAAAAGTAGTCACTTTGTATATTTACTACTCGTATAATATTGTAATATAATTATTAAAAATAATTATTATTACCTGACAACCTGGACTGCCACCACTTGGTTGAAAAAGCACACAATGTATACAAAAATCGCCTTTTCTTAGATCACTAAAAGCCAACCACTTGAACATGTTCAACCATTCTCTAAGATAACTTCTATTCTGATTTCCTAGTTTGACAATTAGAAAAACAAATCCCTGCATTGGTGACCATGTATTTTTTAAAAACATTCATTTGTTTTCATAATAAAGTTGTTTATTAAGACATAAGCCAATATTATAAGCATTCATACTCAAAAGTTAAACATTAAATAAATTAAAGAGATAAATAAATGTGTTGAAATTTATTAAATTAATAATATTTAATATTACCGATTGATAACTAATTTTTAGGGAACTCGTTTCATTTTGAACTAATTCTACATATTCTATAGATTCAGTTATTGCCAATTTTGTATTTTCTTCTCTTTCTTTAAGCTAAAAAAAAAAATGTGCTAAAATAAAATTTGGCATCAAATCGTATTTCAGAGAAAAAATTACATTTAAAAAGCAAACATTTTTGTTTCTTGTATAACAAATTATTTTGATATTCTAATTTCATTTTATTATGGAATAAGGCATTTTCCATTGCGCCACGTTATTGAATGGATTTTTTATAGCATAATGTATTATTTAAACAGTGTTACAAACATCTAAGTTACTTTAGTTAACGTTTTTTATTTATATATCCACTTTATTATTTGATTATTAATTCGATAATTGCTGATCAATAATTTTTTTTTAATATTAATATACTAATGAATTACTGTTTTTCCAATAGATTCGTCCTTATTTTCTTTCGATTGTTTTCGAAAATATGAAAATATAGGTTTAATTTTCTTTTTCTGTTATTTTTCGTATTATGCTTGATCCAGATATAATAATATCAAATTACGTGTACTTACGCTAATAGGTCAAAAATCTTAAAAATTATAATACAAAGTTAAACAAAAATACCAGGTGGATAACAGCACGACGAATGTGATACAAATAAAAGACAAAATTACGGATTCGTAATTAGTGGTTGCCCCATTATGATATAGTACCGATTATTATAAAGATGATGGTAGTTCTAAGATATTCGATAACATTTTAGATTAGATACCGGGTATCGATATCCACGCCTAATTGTGCGGAAGACCCTACGGCTATGATAAAGACCATTACTTGTACAACGATGACCGCGTTACTAACCTCTAGCTACGAGTATAAATCACCAACATCAAACGTGAGTTCTGCAGCATTTTATGAATAACTGAAACTGTCACGCATCGACCTATAATAGGCTTTTTAATTTTTTTCGACTGGTCGATTTCACCCGCCCGTGTTTGTTATATTAATTTACATACCTACCATTGATTTGACTGTGAATTATAAAAACAAACGAATATATTTGCACACGCACACACACACACACACACACACACACACATACTTTTATATACACGCCCACAAATATATACTTACTTATACACACGTCATATATTTACATACAATAGCGTAATGGACAGAATATTAATCATTCGATTCATCAACTAATAACTATTATAATAAAAAACGTGTGCACTCGCGAACAATACGATCGTTATGCGTTCTAAATATTACTGTTGTTGTTATTATTACTATCCTCCTCCCACTGTTAAAATTAAACATCGTACATCACGTAGAGCATTCAAATGAAAATTACACAGATTTCCAAATAGCCGCGAGCAAAATGGCACATGCGGCATATAAGATGCCTCAAGTCTTATTTTAAGAATTTTTCCTATAAAAGCTAAATAAAAATAATTAGCCATGCGTTAGGCTACGTTAAGGTTTCAAGGATGGGTCTCAAGGCAGCCAACTTAGATAAAAATGTGGCCCGAATTGAAAATGTATACTATATAATGTATGTACATCTAAATTGAGTTCCCGAAAATCATGAAGAAATCACAAATCATTTTACGATACGAAAGACAATAACCAAAATATAAATGGGTTAGAGATAGACATTCGAAACAGCGTTTACCAAGTTGGCACAGCAGTTGGTATAATAAAAAATTTATGTTCCAGAGAAAAGCTACAACTAGTTTCAAATAATGGTCTAGAAAAAGCAAAGTACAAAAAAAAATTTGTGTCCATACGAGAAAAGCTGTAACAAAATTATCAATTTTTAATGGTCAAGGTTTTTTAAATGCAACTGTCAAGCAGGAAATCGAAGATATCAAACCAGTTGGTGTTTATGTTTAAAAAAAATGTTAAAAGTTCCAGTAAATAACACAAAACTATAATATGCAATAACAAGTACCTAATAACAAAAAGTTAACAAAAATGTGTAACCTAACCTTTTAATTCATTTTTTATACTGGTACAATCACATTTAATTACCTACGTGTTTTACATATTAATAAATAATACAAGTACTTGATTTATAAAAAAATTAGAAAGGGGACTTAGCGGATGTTGGATGAACGAACTTTCCACACAAAATTTACTGTCGCATTACCACAATCCCTTTAACCACCAAAAATCCCAAAAAACCATTAAATTTATTAGACAAAAATATTTTAAAAGAAAGAAACACTTATTTATTAATAATTTTTTATTAACATTTATTCTACAAAAATAAAAACGAAATCAAACCTTAACTACGGATTGATTAATGTACATACATTTTCATATATGACCTATCTTCAATTTAAAAGAATAACTGAATGGAAGGTCCCATTCCTAGGTCTCAGTAAATGTTGCGTTTCCAGCGTTCCGTTTCTAATAAATAGAAGGGGTACGCTAAAAAGATATTAAAAAAGAAAGACTCTCCTCCTCCTCTAAAATCAAGCATTGCTAAATTTGGGTTCTACTACCCCTAATAATAATGCTTGGAGTGCCCATCAATGATTACCGATAACTCACTCCTACGATGAAGGTATTTCAAGTTGTTTTCCACTCTTCGGCATATGGTTCGATTTAAAACAATATTAAATAAATGCGTTTGCGAAATATACTCTGTAGTAAAATACGCGTTACACTAGATCGAAGGGAAAGGCTATGTTTTCGCGTGGCTACTGACGTCGATAAAAAATAAAATAAACTATTTAAACGTAACTACGTTAATTAGTTAACTTAATATCAATATCGGAATGCAATGTCTCCGTCTAGGTCAGTAATGTGCGGCGGCGTATACCTAAGCCGATATTATGATAATTTACTACCACCAATGCTGTCCACTCAAAAAATATTCTAGCCCAACCTCAGCCATTCGCATCTTCAGTGTTCTGTGAGAAAACTGAGGATATCCTCGCAAGAGCGATATGATTGATACGTTTTTTTTTTTTTTTTTTATCAAATTTGAATAATAATAAAAAATACTGGAATCATGAACAACGAGCATCGTAATTCATGAACACGAGAAACATTTAATATTTCGAATTAATACTCGAAAATATTGTTACTCGCATTTAATCAGCTAATCATATTACTATAGAAAATACCCGAATGTAAAATTGTATACACGTGCAATTATATAGTATAGTTTCTATATTGATTATCGGAACGAAGTTGAGAAAAACTCTATTCAAAATCATGAAGGAAGGGATGTGACTTTGCTCATGATTTTATCCGACCACTTTGAATATTTTTGAAGCAATTTGCTTTTTTGTGCCTAAATAATATAAAAATGATCTTGTGAAAATTTAACAGTGAGAATTGGTCAAAATAACACATCGGGAATAACAAACGTATCACACGTGATCAAAATAAATCTGATACGGCTGCAGTATCATCCGCGTGCGATCCTGCCTTTGTCCCACTAATTATTTATGATCTATATCGGATTATAGATATAATAAGTACGATAGTGTACGGGCGCCATGGCGTAGTAGTTGTTGATAATTAAAAGGTGCTGAAAGATTCTTTTCGTACTGAATACATGATAGCGTAAATAATTGTTTCGTACGTAACTTTTTGCTTTGATCTCACATAGTTCTCGAATCGGTAGAAAAATAATACATGGTTAAAATTTAAATACAAAAGGGATGATGGGTAGGACAGACTGGCATTAATAATTAAAATTGTAAGATTTTAATATAAAAAAACTTTTTTTACTAATAATACATAGATGTTAGGACAAGATAAAAGTAAAAAAATCTTAAAACATGGTACATATCGTTAGCTTATATATAAAAATAACTTTATGTAAACTCACTTACGCACACATAAACATTTAATACATACATAAATATAAATATAATACTATTATTAAATAAAATAAAATATAAAACAGATCATAGGTAGAATAAATTTACGTCTCCATGAGCAGGGCTCTAACCGTTTTCGACGTAGACGGGTCGTTTAAATGGGCTGTTGTGTACCTACGAAGAAAAGAATCAAAAGGTTTATGTGCATTTATAAAATTATTACTATTATTATTATCGCCCCTCATATAATGGCTACAGTTTATAATAAATATATGTGTATAAATAATACCTCAATGCGTTCAACAGGTTTTCAGTTTGAAACTCTTCCGGCTGATCTTTGAGCAATCGTATACAACCTTTAATGTCTATGTTGGAAGTCTTGACAAAAGCACCATTAGGGTGCACGTGGTCGAACAGGATAATGAGACCGACTAATACGCGTAAAACGAAAAGATGTGTTTCTTGTTTTCTAAATTGAACAGTCCTATAGAACATACGTGTAAAAAATGTTTAATTATATAACACGAAGTCGAGGGATGTGTAAGTCATTATTATAGAAGGATATTTTTTTCTTATAATAAGATATTTACTTACGGCGCTTCCAACATACGTATGCATACCTTGACCATGGTACTTAACATTTCGATAGCGTAGTCTACAAGGCGTTTATCCTAGAAACAAAAATATCAACGACTTATTTAATATCCAGACTATACATTTAATTTAATAGAAAAATATAAAAATATAATAACTAGAATGAATAAATTAAAAAACTAATAAAGAAAAAATACTACGAGAGATTTAAAAAAGTTTACATTAAATAGTCTTATAATATTATAAATATTAAGATTCATTCACTGATAAAATATTTAAGTATTACAATACAAACATCTAAGGCAATATTATACAGTATATTAGTCATAAATATAGTTACTTTATTCAAGAATTGTGAAGTAACGTTTGATAGTGTTCTTAACATTGGCGTTGCTTCTGCGTAGAACAATGACACTTTATTGGCAATGTTCAAATTACTGTTTGAATCTTCGTCTTGATCAGTAAACGAATATGCCGACATACCTTCGCGCATCAGCACTCGTCTATAATAACTAAAATCGTTTTGAATCGCTGGAATTCGCATCTAAAATTTAAAACCAATTATAATTTGACAAACAAAAATGTTAAGTAAAATTTTCTAGTAAAATTATGTCAACGGCAATACCTTGTACTCATCGAACTTCAAGACAAACTCAATAATTTCCGAGAATTGTTTAACTAGAGCTTGTTGATTTTCTAGATGTACTGAAGGAGTGATGTCATCTGAACAAATTTCAGTTAAAATTTGAGGTACAACAAATGCTGAAAATTAAAATATTAATACAGAAATAATTAATGCTTATTCAGAATTTACTTAGCTCAAAGTTTATAATAAAAATTCACTAACATTTTTTAATAATGTCAAATAGTAAATTTAAAAATAGATAGTATATTCATTTTCGTTTTCCTTAATAAACGCAATATAAAATATCAATAAATGAATTCAAAATTATAAATTCTTGTTGATATTATACATAAAAAAGTAATTGACATTTTTGAAAGTTTAAGTATCAAATATTATAATGATGCTTGTATGTAAATTGTATAATTTAATTGAACTAAACATGGCTAGAAAACTGTTTAGCACAAGAACCATGAGTAAATATACAAGCATTTCCATTTATTGACAAACTATAATACATTTATGATTTTAAATATCCATATTTACAGAATATTTCATTACTATTTTAATAAAAAACAATTTACCTATTTTTTGGGAGAAAAAATAGAACCGCCTTAATGTGCGTATTTTAGGCATCAGCTTTTCCCAAGTTAATGCATTCTGTTCAGCACAAGGGTTATTAATCGCTGCTTTTATGTATTGGTCAGCACCCGAATAACGTTTAAGCTCGGAAAGCACGTCTGAAGCTTCAGTAAGCACAATTTGTACCTCATCAAATAGTTGCATTTCACTTTCGGTAGGTTGAGCATCTGAAAAATAACATTAAATAAAATGTTAATTTATTCTAATTTAAAACTGTCACTGGTCAAAGTTGATCTTATAATTGATGCGATCATTAAAAAAAAAAAAAAAAAACAAGTGTTGTTAATAATATTTAATGAAGTCATAACTTACAACAATATGACTATATAAGAATACCTATGTTTTAATAATTCATGCAATGCTTATAATAGTATAAATTAAGATTTCTAAAAAACCGATAACACGAACATTGCTGAAATTAGTCGTATAAAAGAAAGTTAACCATATTATACTCGTATAAGGTCTTTCAACGTTTTTGAGTTAGCTAAAGCTTACCGTGATTTAAGTTATTTATTTATTTATTTTTTTTTAATAAAGCATTACAAAAAAAAAATCTAAAAGTAAAAATATTTAAAAATCTTATTAAATAAAATTAAATAAAGATACTTGAAGTAAAAAATATGACCGACAATAATAAATTTAAATCCTTAGTAAATCCTGGTTCTACAATATCAGCATAAACCGATGTCTTATAATTTATACTTCCGACTCAAACTGGGACATTATCTATTACTTAAACACGCTTTTATTTAGGACTCAATATATAATAGCCATATATTTATACTCCTCCGACTATGGGAATAATTTGTGTGATTACCGTCACCTTCTACTAAACTGTCCATCCGTCTCACCTAATAGACAATCTAATACCTCAAAAGACAATTTGCCTCCTGTGGCACCAAATTTTTCTTACATAGACTATCTATGTTCAATACACTATCTTCCAACAATATTTCATTAATCAAATCCATCATTTAATTCTTCTACCCAGCTTGAAAATATAATCCCAATTAAAATAATAGGCTTTTTACATACATTTATAAAATATAATAATTTTATGAAAATGTAATTTATAGAAGTCAGAAAGAAAAATTGTAATAGTTACATTAAGGAAAAATATATAATTCATTTTTATTTTATCAAATAGTTTTAAATATGGCTGTTTGTGAAAGAGTATTAATTTCATGAAGAAAATTTAAGTAAAACTATATACTAAATCGTTATAAAATTAAAATGTCTTATTACTTTCGTTGATTACTTAAAAAAAAAAAAAAAAAAAAAACTTGAAAATAAAAATAACTTAAAAATCGAAATACATCATAATGAAACCTCTGACGTTCAATTTTAAAACGAAGTAAATAAAACAAAAACACATTTGTTAATGTATGCAGAAAATTTAAATAAAGTTTGTAACAACTGCTTTAAGAGATAATGAAAGTCCATTTTAAACATTTTATTTGATGTCAAAACTTTGCATTTTATAGTATTTTAAAGTTTAAATTATTTAAGCACTTTAACATTCAAAACTTATTTTAAGTTGATTTTTAATAATAATAAAACATTAGTAAACTAATTACACGTTCTAAACAATTAAAAAAATATTCACAATCAGTAGTATAGGTATTAAGAAGTGAAGAAAGAACAGTGAAAGAAAAAATAATAATGCTGTTTCCTTAGTTAATCCTAATTTTCCTTAATTTTAGTACGGGGTATAATCAAAAATTATATACAGATTGGCATTTAATTTGTTTTGTACATAATTAATATATAAATTCGTACAAAAATCTAATTGCCGCCACAAGTGTAAAAAATATTATTTATGTGACACTGCACGGGATTATTAAACTTTCCCGACATTCATTAACACCTTAATTACCCGACAATATCAAGTTATATTATAAATAAATCTGTATCAAAACGTATTCCAAAATTCAATAAAATATATTATTTACTGTTTAATGATTTAGGCCAGTGGTTCTTAACCTTTTTCGAATGACGGAACACTTAACATTTTACAAGATTTTCGCGGAACATAACCGTAAAATAAAATAGTAGTACATACATTTTTAATTTTTTAATATATTAAACAATGAATGTATAGCATAAAATTGTTTGCATGCCATACATGTTAGTGTTAGTCACTAAAAAATAATAAAATAATAAAAAGAGTTAAAAAAAATTTAAAAATTTGAAATTGAATACTTTGTATGAGATATTTGTGCCTGATGATTTTTACAGATATTTTCAATATCTGGCCGTATGTACGATATTGCTACTCTCATTTCCTCTTCAATATTTGTCAGCCTTTCTCGTTTCTTTGTTTTGATATTCGTCAGTGTTGAAAATCCAAGCTCACATAAGTATGAGGTTGAAAATTGTAATAATATTGAAATTGCTTTTTCAGAATTTTTTTTAAATTCGGTTTGAACTGAAATCCAAAATTCTTCTACTGTTATTTCGGAAAATTGTATTTTTAGAGTTCGATCTGTTGTTAGCATTATAAATTCTTCCTCTTCTTCTAACGTAAATTCATAACTTGACGTGTTGATGGTAGAAAATGGATTTCGTATCCAATCATACTTTTCAATATTTAATTCAGGAAAGTATTTCGTGATTTTTTCTTCTAATAATGCTAAATGTTCTGTTATAATAGGAATTATTTCATTATTATTTTTAATTGAAGGAAACATGTCTACCGTATTTTTTTGAATTATACGCGTTCTCCAAAAAGATATATTTTTTTTAAATGTTAATAGTTTATCCGTGAATGTAAGAATATTTTCGTTTTTACCTTGCATACCAGCATTTACGCTATTTAAATAATTAAAAATATCAGCTAAATATGCCATTTTAACACACCAAATATCGTCTGTAAGAAAAGATATAAAAACAGTGTTACCTTCGTTTTGAAAAAACATTAACAATTCATTCTTAAGTTCCAGAATTCGATTTAGAACTTTACCTCGCGATAACCATCTTACTTCACAATGTAAAAGTAAACATACGTGCTGAGTTTCCATTGATTCACACAGTTTTTTAAATAGGCGTGATTGTAATGGACGCGATTTTATGTAGTTAACCATGCTTACAATTTTATCCAATATAGACTTTAATGTAATAGGTAATGTTTTCGAAATAAGTGATTCTCGGTGTAAAAAACAATGTGTAGATATGATATTAGGATTTTTTTTCTTCGCTAATGTTGTAAATCCTTTAATAGAACCAACCATTGAAGGAGCTCCATCGGTGCAGATTCCTACACATTGGTCCCATGTTATGTTAAATTTATCTAAATATGACGAAATTGAATCAAAAAACATTCTGTCCTGTTGTACGTTCAGTAAGTTGTTTACAGCATAAAAATTGATTCACTATTTTATTTTCATCAATGAAACGAACAAATCCTAGTACGTGAGCTATACCACTGATATCAGTAGACTCGTCAATTTGCAAAGCGAAATATAGTTTATTAGTAGTAAGCTTGTTAGTGACAGTTTTCTCAATATCATCTGACATGTGTATAATTCTGTTTTTTATTGTATCGTCTGAATGCGGAATTTTCATAATTTCTTTTTTTGCATCATCGCCAAACATAATTTGAACTATTTCTGAACATGCCGGTAAAATCAAACTCTCTGCTATGGTGTATGGTTTTAACTGTTTTGCAATTATTTCGGCAACTTTATAAGATGCGATTTGTGCTTTATCAGATATTGTTACAATTTTTTTAAAATGTTTTCTTTGATTCATTTGATTATTCAACAACCTTTCAAAATAATTTTTTTCTTTAGACTGGAGATTGGCGTGCTTAGATGAAAAATGCCGTTTTAATTTCGCTAGCGCCATTGCGCTATTAGACAACTTTTCCCCACAAACCACACAAAGGGGAATTTGACAATCATTTTCGTCAACATAAGTGAACCCAAAATTTAAATAATCGTTGCAATATTGTCTATTGACCTTTTTTATTTTATTCTCATCATTGAAAGTATCATCATTGACATTGCTTGTATTTGTACTTGCACTATCAGTACAAGAATCATGTTTCCGTTTAAGAAATTTGTCCATTTTGTTATTAAAATGGTCGTTACAAATTAAATTAATTAACTAAATAAATTTCAAATTGTATTTACTTAAAAAAATAACAGAATCCTTATTTATGAAGTTGTACACGCATCTAACGTTGATAACCGTGGGCAACGTACTAATACTAATGTATTTTATAACTTTTATTAGTGCAGAAAATAAAATTGTCAATATCTATACGTATGTTATCGCAGTATGGTGGAGATTATCGTATAA